GTCTTACAAGAATTACACACTCCCCACTGCTATCAATCTCCAGTCATTATGGTTTCTTCAGCCCTCAGAACATTTTTAGGAGACATTTTCTTTGACCTGCTTGCCTTAACGGGTACATAAGAACTCAGTAAACTGACAGAATGAAGATTAACTGAGATGCCAAGAGAAGTTTTTATTGCAAGCACAGTGAGCAGAAAGAGATGTCTTCTCACAGAGTGGCCACCAGGTAGGTCTGCTGTTAACTAAGCCTCTGACAACCCTTCATTGGTTTAAAGCATACGAATCAGCTTCTCGTTATCAGGCGTACATCATCTCTGCCATGTGGGACATTTTCTTAGGGATATACAAGTAATATTCCATGTAGCCTGATAGGTCCTCAATGGTCACATCATCCACATAGGCACGAGCTTGCTCGGAACAGGATCAAGGGAGCCAGACAGAGTTCTGGTGGGCAGTGATGGGGAGTAAGTCCTCAAGTGATCTTCGTTCTGGGGCCAAAGGAGGGACACTCTTCAGACCTGAAAAGGAATACACTTCCTTATCATGCCATCTCTTGCACTGGCACTCCTTGTCTACACACACACACGGCTTGCCCTGGCTTAGCTTGGAAACAGATCGAAAGTCAGAGAGATTGCTGGCCATAAGACTTTCTGGGGAGACTTGGGTAGTAGCATCAGAGGGCTCTTCTGTTTTACTCTCTGGTGTGAGCCTTGGAACTGAACTTCTCAGAGGCTCAATGCCTGCCCCCGTGTGATTAACATCAAGAGAAGTAGAAGTCTCTCCTGTGTTGAACTCTTTGGGACTTGAAATTCCCAGCCCACTGCTGTCATGTGGCTCAGTCTGGCTTCTGTGCTTGAGCTGGCTGCTGGGAGGAGATGTTGTCTTGCTGCAATGTATGAACTTGGGAGGATGAAGGACAGGAGACTTAGAGCGTCGACGACGCTGGGTTCTCACTGCTCCTCGTGAAGACTTCCTTGTAGACCCGTGCCAACTGTCTTTAGACGCACATGTGGTTTTAGGTTTGGTGTCATCTGTTGCTGTTCTGACTGATGCTCTGACACTTGTGCCTTCTCCGACAGACAGAGACAGGACGGACCCTGATGCGTCCACTCTTAATTTCTTGAAGGCAGTTTGTAGACTCTCCTCCTCTCCATCCTTGGCTTCAGATTTCATTGTGAAAATTTCTGCACTCCTATGGATGTTCCTGCTAATACTCCTCGCAGCTGGGGTGCTCCCGGGGATCCGGCTCCGTAGGCTCTTCGCGTCTCTCCGCGACCGCCGCGCCTGCTATAAGATGTTCTTAAGCAATGATTTCAACCTAAAAATACATTTGATTTTAGGAATTGCATATACAACTATATAGATAATTTATCCCAAAAAAGGTAAACAATCTAGGTGAATATAGGTGAGTCAGAAATTTATCCGTCAGTAAAAATGATACTGCATAATTTTCAAAATTCTCTCTCAAACACACACGTGTGTGTGTAAGAACTTATTCACTAGTGCCTCTCTTAGATGTAAACACACTATCACCAGTTCTATTCTCAGACAATAAAAATTGAACTGAAGCTTAATTTTTTAACTTAATATCATTCTGTTTTCTTCTAAGATCCGAATCTATATATTACTTTAATGTTCTTTCTTGTTATTGAATATATAAGAACATTCTGTTTTGATTAGCTAGGTGGAAAATATAATTTATAATGGGCTTTGTGGTTTACATTTCATATAAAATTGTAAATCCTATTCTAAACTTACTTACAAATTGATATTTAATAAGACATTTGCTAAAAGATTTACTGTTTTCTCTGGCATTAAAAGGGGACAGAGATCACTATTTTAAAATGTGTGTAAATATTGCAAGGAAAACGGACCTTTAACACCCAACTTTATACAGAGTTCAAAGTAAATAAATACTTGTCAAATAAATATTTTAAGACTATGTGATGGTTAGGAGTACTTGCTATTCTTGCAGAGGTTTTTTGGTTTGGCATCACCCATATGGTACCTCACAAATGTCTGTAATTCCAACTCTAGTGAACCTTTTTCTGCATTCTACAGACACCAGGAAAACATGTGGTAAACATACATACATGCAGACAAACATCATACATACCAAATATAAATTAATATGCTTTTTTAAAAAATAAAATAATTTTAACATACCACTGGATTTTAAAATAAGAAATCATCAATAATTATAGTTCTCAAAGAAATGTATCTGAGATCAAAGGAGTATTGCTGATGAAATACAAAAATAAACTACAAAAATCCATAGTCACTAAGAACACTCAAGAAGTGTGTCCTTGATACCTATTGTTTATTATGCCAAAGTAAATTTGAAGTTGTTGAAGGATGTCATGTAGAGTCTTGGGGATCATCTAATTAATACTGTGTTTTATCAAGCAAAGACAGTTCATACACTCCTGACCTTATCAGTCCACACTGTGCATCTTAACCTGAAAGAAACAATTCAGAAGCCAGAGACCATTAATCAGCTGTCTGATTCTTATCCTATCTTCTATACCAAGACTACAACACTAACTTAATATGTAGCATAAAATACACATTTATATAAATTGATGAAGCATATGAACAGTATTTATGCCTATTATGTCTGCATAAATTTCCCTAAAATTGTATTGTTTATTAGTTTTATGAAATGTATTATTATGCTACATAATATGCATTATTTTGTTTTCTTTTATCTTAATTCTTTTCATTTTATTTTATTTAGCTATACTTTTTGTCCTATGCTCCCTTCCCTTCCTCTCCTCTTCCCTTCAAACCTCTCCTATGGTCCCCATGCTCCCAATTTACCTAGGATATCTTTTTCTACTTCCCATGTAGATTGGTTCTATGTATGTCTCTCTGAGGGTCCTCATTGTTTTCTAAGTTCTCTGGGATTTTGATTTGTAGGCTGGTTTTCTTTGCTTTATCTTTAAAACCACTTATGTGTGAGTACATATGATTATTGTCTTTCTGGGTCTGGGTTACCTCATTCAATATGCTTTTGTATAGCTCTATCCATTTGCCTGCAAATTTCAAGATGTCATTATTATATTCTGTTGTGCAGTACTCTATTGTATAAATTTACCACATTTTATTTATCCATTCTTCAGTCAAGAGGCATTTAGGTTGTTTTCAGGTTCTGACTATGACAAACAATGCTGCTATGAACATAGTTGAGCACTTGTCCTTGTGGCATGGTTGAGCATCCTTTGGATATATACCCAAAAGTGATATTGTTGAATTTTGAGGAAGGTTGTTTCCTAATTTTCTGAGAAATTGCCATACTTATATCCAAACAGGCTATACCAGCTTGCAGAAAGTTGTATTGTATTTTATGGTATGTTGTTAGGAACATAAAATCAAAATGTGGCGTGGTATATCACTCATCTCTTCTTTGAGTAGGTAGTACTCATCAACATGATAGTATGCCCATCATTCTTTGAATTATAATCTCATAAAAATTAAGAAATAATATTTCTGTATTTAAAATATAAAAACAAATTGAAAATTGTGATACTGATTGTTATGGATCTAGATAGTCAATTTACCTGTAGGTAAAAGTCATTCCTTGTGGTATATTCCTTAAACACATTATATAATATTTAATTGTGATATTCAAGAGAAATTATCAACTAACATCCATAAAGGTATTACCAAACTGAGGTTTCTCTGAAATAAAATATGTTTTACATTGTTATAGCTCTTAACCAGAAATAACTCTCTGCTATGACAAATTGTACAAGCATTAGCAGCAAGGTTCACTGTAAGCAGGAAATGTCCATGTAGCAAAAAATGCTGAGTAATCCCATAAAAAGAAGTGGGAAAGGAGAACATGAAATTTTTTATTACAAACATGCCTAATCTTTGGTTAAAGGAAAAGAACAAAACTAACATAGGAATTGTGTAGACTTTCATTGACCACAAAGAAAATGTTTACTAGCCTATATTCCTAGTTTGATAGTCAGCAGTTTACTTCCACATGAAGATTTGAGGTATTTGCTATTTGGCCACTTGGTTCTGGAATCAAGGCTTCAATATTCATTCAGGAATGTAGAAGAGTCTGCCTTATCCGAATGTAAAATGTTCCTTATGAGTTCATATGTTTACATTATTGGTAGACAAATGGATGAATCTGTTTCAGAGAACTGAGATTTTATGAGACAGTTAATTAATTGGAGTGGGGTAGAACAGTGGGCATGACCTTGTAATTGAATGGTAAGCCCTACTTTTTGTCTTTTTTGTACTTTCTAGCTTAGTATATATTGGGAATAGCCACTTCCCACTCATCCTTCTGTGCCTTCCTAACTAGGTTGAACTGTATCCATCAAGTTGTTAGCCAGGACAAATCCTGACACTCTTAAATTGCTTCATGTCAGGGATTATTCATAGTAATGAGAAAATTAAATAACATAGGCCCATATTTTTTTGTTAGTAAACTTTCATTATCCATATCCTTCCATTTGTTCTAAGTAAACTAAAGATAGCTCAAATTATTGTGTTCTATTATCAGGCAATTTTAAATCAGAATACAACTTCAGAAAAAATGAAACACAGGGTCTGTACAGGGTGTTTTTATGTCAACTTGACATAAACTAGAGAAATCAGAGGAAGAAGCCTCCTAGGAAGATATGCTTCCTTGAGATCCAGCAGTAAAGAAATTTTCTCATTTAGTGATCTATGGAAGAAGGCCCAACCCATGGTGTTAGGTGCCTTCCCTAGGCTGAGCAAGCCCTGTGCAGCAAACTGGTAAGCATCTCTCCTCCATGGTCTCTGCATCAGCTCCTGCCTCCATAATCCTACCCTGTCTGAGTTCCTGTCCTGACTTTTTTAGTGATGAACAGTAATGCTGAAATGTAAGCCTAATAAACCCCTTCCCCTCTGACTTGCTTTTTGGTCATGGTGCTTTGTCGTAACAATAGAAACTCTAACTAGGATAGGGTCCTATGTAGAATAGGAAGTCAGTAAATCTAAGAGAAAGAAAAATTAAAATTATATTTTTCCTTAATGAATTTGCCTATGTAATTCAACATTTAATCAAATGAGCTTACAATTATAGATAAATTATATAAGATGCAAGGTAAATTTTTGTTAAACCATTGAATAAGTCATTTTATTGTTTTCAATTATTGTGGATTACAGATTTAATTTATTGAATGACTTCTGATTTATAAAGGCCTTTTGTCTAAAATAGTCCTCAAGAAGAAACTGGCCTGGAGCACAGTAATGGCTGTACAAGATCTAATGGCTTTAAATCAGATTAAGAGAATTGTGTAAAACCATAAATGTTTAATAGGCATCATGTTCACCTAAGCAGATTTAGCAACTTCTTTCTAGATTGGGAAGAGACTGGCTGGGATTTTTTTTGAAATGAGACAGCCAAGATGACCTTTGAATTCTCTCCTTAATTCTGAATAGGAAAATAAAAATGAAATAGATAGACAGGCATGGTCAGTCCTGATAGGCAAAAAGCCATTTGACATTTTGACTGAAGAGAAATGAAATTTCTAATAAGAATGTTTGAATACTACCTTGTATAAGTAAGCTCAGCCATATGAATGTTGTCACAACAAAAAAGTTAAAACCTAAAGAAATACTAGGTCATTTAGAAATAGATACTGGATGATTAGTGAAAACTAATAAGTAAAATAATAACTAGAGTTAAAGCCCAGAATTAATTCAAAAATTGACCTAGAAACTATAAATGTCTAAACTTTTAAAAATTATTTCATTAGTTTAGACAAATTTAAAATTTAGGTATAGTTTGAACATATTTTCCTCCCCCGGGTCTTTCAGATCTCTCACCCTCGCTACCCAACCAACTTTAAGTTCCTATTCAAAATAAACAACCCCCCCAAAAAATAAAAGCCTCTATAATCAAGAAAACAAGATCCCAAAGAAAGACAAACTAATGAAATCACTAAACTGTAAACAAATAAAAGCCCCCACCAAAAAAAAAAAAAAAACATGGAGTCCATTAGATGTTGTGTTCTCGGAGTTTCTGTCTTGCTCAGTTCCTACAGTAATGAAGTCCCAAAGAAATCACACAGAGGTCTACATTAACTACAAACTCATTGGCCCATTAGCTCAGGCTTCTTATTAACTCTTATAACTTACATTAGCCTATTATTCTTATCTGTGTTAGCAACATGGCTCAGTACCTTTTTCAGCAGCATAGTCATATCTTGTTTCTTTTGTGTCTGGACATGACTGCAGAGGAATGGGTTCTCCTCTTCCCAGAATTCTCCTATTCTCATTGTCCTGCCTTTACT